AAAAACAACAAAAAAAACCTCATATGACAAACAAAAATCAGTTTCTTTTTTTTTTATTAAAGATTTTTATTTATTTTTTGACAGAAAGAGACAGCAAGAGAGGAAACACAAGCAGGGGGAGTGAGAGAGGGAGAAGCAGGCTTCCCGCCGAGCAGGGAGCCCAATGTGGGGCTCGATCCTAGGACCCTGGGATTATGCCCTGAGCTGAAGGCAGACGCTAAACGACTGAGCCACCCAGGCGCCCCACAAAAATCACTTTCAAATGGTCTAGAGAAAAAAAAAACGCAAAATAATAAAGCAATGAAGGCAATACAGAATACATTCATGACCCCAGGAAAGGAAAGATCCCTTAAAACATGATGGAAAAGATATATTAAAAAAAACATCATTTTTACTAAATTAAAGTTTAAAACACCGTAATTCATCAAAAGATACCAGAGTGAAAAAAAGTGAGCCACAAAGAGGGAGAAGATATTTGCAACACATAAAACAGAAAGAACTCACATTTGGAAAAATAAAAATTCCTATATATCAATTGGGGGAAAGACTCAATATACAACTGAATAGAAAAATGCGATTAAGGGGGCACCTGGGTGGCTCAGTCGTTAAGTGTCTGCCTTCGGCTCAGGTCATGATCCCAGGGTCCTGGGATCGAGCTCTGCATCGGGCTCCCTACTCCGCGGGAAGCCTGCTTCTCCCTCTCCCACTCCCCCTGCTTGTGTTCCCTCTCTTGCTGTGTCTCTCTCTATCAAATAAATAAATAAAATCTTTAAAAAAAAGAAAAATGCGATTAAGAGTTGAATATGTACTTCAGAAAGAGGAAATCCAGATGCCCCAAAACAGGTACTCAATAGCAACAGAAATCAGGAAATATGAATAAAAAGCACAGTAAGCTATGACTATATCCCCACCACAGAAGCACAGTGTTGGGGAGATGTGGGCCAACAGCACACCCATACATGGCCAGAATTTACTAGAAATACAAATCATTGGACATGACCCCAGATCTACTGAATCAGAACTCTGATGGTGGAGTCCAACAATCTGTGTTTACCAAGCTCTCCAGAGCATTCTGATGCAGGCTTGAACTTCAGAACCACTGTATGCCACACTATGCATATGAGAATCATCACATTCAAAAACTGGAAATAGCCCAAATGCCCGTCAACAGAATGGATAAACTGTAATATTCCTATAATGTATCATAGAGCAAGGAAAATGTGCAAACTACAACTATAGACAATAACGTGAAGGAATCTTATAATCTTGAGAGAAAGAATCAAGACACAAAAGAATACATACAATATGATTCCATTTATGTAAAGACAAAGAGGCAAAACTAAACTATATTGTTTTGGAATGCATACTTAACTGGTAAAAATATAAAGAAATTTGAGAAAGTGATTACTATTAAGGTAGGACAGTGGTTTACTCTAGGGAAGAAGGAGTGGGTGTGATTAGGAAAGGATACAGAAAAAGGGACTTCGGAGGTGTTGACAACACACTTTATCGGTGTGATGGTTACATGTTTGTTTCAAAATGATATAATAAACAGTACATTTTATGCACCTTTCTGAATCTAAACTGTGTTCTAATTTTTTTTTTAAAGCAAACACATTCCCTTCTCAAGGTCCCACATCTGAAGCTGTAAAGTAATTGGAGAAAATAAGAGTTAGAGGCTACCGAGCTTCATTTTAAGCCACGGTTAATTTGCTTCAGAGGATGAAATGAGGCAGGCCTGAAGAGTGCTCTACAGGGCACAAGGGAAACACTGTTGGGGTGCTGATTCAGCTTTCAAGGATCCCCCTTCTATGGGATCAGCAGGGGCAGACCTCAGCAGCCATGCTGGAGCTCCATAACCCTTCTCCAAGTCCCAGTGGATTAGAGCAGGAGGAGAAATCTGACTCACGCTGGACTATCCAGATTCATCCACCCAGGAGTGAATTTTGAGCTGAGACACAGACTGAACAGGAGTTGGAGGCTGAAGCACCAATATGGCACCACTCAGGAGAAAAGGTCCAAACAACTGCCAGATAGGTCGCTCCCACCATACTCTGGCTTCTACCCTGCCCAAGGCCTAGTAGGTTCTATAAAAAATTTCTGTACGTTAGTTACCATCATAGGTTGCAAGCAATCAGAACCCAAATCAAATAAGCATAAGGAAAAAAAAGTGTAACAACAGTAAGCGTCCTTCAACAAAACTGACAAGCCTTTAGCAAACTGCTAAAAGTAGGAATGAAAGAGAGGACATTACCACTAACTTTTCATAAACTGAAAGAATATAAAGGACTACTATGAACTTTATGCCAACAAATTAAATAACTGAGATGAAATGAACACATTCCCAGAAAAACACAAATTACCAAAATTGACTCAAGAAGAAGTAGAAACTCTGAATAGACCTATAACAAGCGAAGAAATGGACTTAGTAATTAAAATGTTTCCTACAAAGAAAACCCCAGGTCCAGATGGCTCCACTGATGAATTCATTCAAATATTTTAAAAATAAATGATGCCGATACTCTATAAATTCTTCCAGAAAATAAAGAAGGAAGGAACACTTCCAAACTCATATTTTGAGCCAGTATCACACCCTGATACCAAAGGCAGACAAAAATACACACACACTGGGATGCCTGGGTGGCTCAGTTGGTTAAATGTCTGCCTTCAGCTCAGGTCATGATTCTGGAGTCCCAGGATGGAGCCCCATGTCAGGCTCACTGCTCAGCAGGGAGTCTGCTTCTCCCTCTGCCCCTCCCAGCTTGTGTTCTCTCTCACTCACTTTCTCTCTCTGTCAAATAAATAAATCTTTTAAACACACACACACACACACACACAAAATATAGACCAATATCTAATAAACAAAACTATCAACACAAAAATCCTCAAAATATATTAGTAAACCAAATCCAACACATAAGAACCATACAAAAAACACCATGCCCAAGTTGGATTTATCCTAGGATGCAAGGTTAGTTTAACATCTGAAAATCAATGTAATATACCCTATTAATAAAGGACAAAAACCATAAGATCATTTCAACTGATGCAGAAAAACCATCTGACAAAATCCAACACCAGTCATGATAAAAATTCCCAAGATTCCCACAGAAAACTGATGATATACTAAAAACAAATGATAATTTGAGGATGGCCGATTTACAAAGGTGTGCGTGTAGGGGAACCACAAGGGAAAGTGCAGGAACCTGAAGCTAGTAGAAGCTAAGCTAGTGTCATCTCTAGGCCCAAAGGGATAAGGAGAGGAAATAATTACCAGAATGCAGAAGGAGAGTCAGAGACTCCTGCCTCACCAGGTGCTCTGTGCACTTCAGTGGAGGGACACAGCCAACCCAAAACATCTTGCAAGGAGGGAACCAAGGGAATAAATAAATAGTCTGGCCTCATTCTTCTCCCTCCCCCTACCTCCTGCCAGACCTCTTCTTTGGCCAATCCCATCAGGAAACCTTGGATGCCAATGAGCGGAGATTAGATATTCAGCACAAAGAGGTAATTCCCTAGCTCTTGCACTTTGGAAGAATTCTGAACTAGAGCTTCAAGAACTAGAGCTGGTGTCTCAACATTGTTAGATCTTCCTGCTTCTCTCAGTGTGCTGCCTCTGCTTGGTGGATACTGCAACTGCAGTCACAGCAATCTCAGGAATAGAGTAACCCTCTCTTTAAATGGCTGTCTCAGCTTTAGAGAAAAACCCCTGATTAGCCTATGCAGTCACATGCCCAGGGCAGTGGGACACTCATGACTGGCCAGCTACAAGCCATATACCCACCCCTGTCTGAGGTTTGTTAGTAAACAGCACTCTTTCTTGTAAATTCCTTCCTTTTGTCAAGGTTAGCCAGAGCTGGATTCTGCTATTTGGAATCAAAAGAACCTTCATCTAGGCTGAAAGTAACCATGATCAAAAGCAGGAGAAAGATCCAAAATACAGTCAGCCTTGGGTGTTAGAACTTCCAACCGGAGGATTTCCCAAACACCAAGAGAGGAATCTTTGGGGAAAAAAACTACTGGGGAAATGGAGGGCCCAGAGCACTGTCCAGCATCCAGACCACAGCTACTCCATCTAGCACCAGGAACGGCAATTCCCAGCGCTTCTTTCCTGGTGCCCACACTGGTGTCCCCACTACCTAGGAGATGCTCAAGGAGGAGCACAAGGTGGCTCTACTCCGGGTGCCCTACAGCTTAGCTCCCACGGTGACCACCATGATCAACATCCGCTGCAAGATGTCGGTGCCCAACCACATCATCTGGTCTCTCTGCAACACAATCTTCATGAACTTGTGCTGCCTGGGTTTCGTGGCATTCACCTACTCCATGAAGTCTAAGGACCAGAAGATGGTGGGTGATGTGGCTGGAGCCCAGGCCTATGCCTCCACCACCAAGTGCCTGAACATCTGGGCCCTGGTCTTAGGCCTCCTTCTGATCATTGCATTCATCAATATTTCTTTTTTAAAGATTTTATTTATTTATGAGAGAGAGAGAGAGAACATGGGGGGGGTAGAGGAAGAAGCAGACTCCCCAGTGAGTAGGGAGCCCGATGTTCATCATTATTTTTCATCATTATTTCTGCCACTGGCTCACTGATAATTTTCTAAGCAATTTCAGAGAACATAAAACATTATGGAAGCTATTAGCAGCTGCCCATAGCCTGAGGCTGTCACTCCTATCACAGAATTTTATATACATGTCAGTCTGCAATTGAATTCAATAAAGTACTTGTGTGTGGGGAGGAAAAAAAAAAAGAACTTCCAAACTCAGCAAAATCATCCTCATTCTTGCTCAAAATCATAATTTTAATGATGGATATTTCCACACACTCAAAATGGTTTTGAACTCTAACATTACGTATGAAATGTACATTACACTCTAGATGAGAAACCCAAAATACCAACAAAAAAATCCTTACCCAAAGTTCCTTTCTCGCCACTTATGATTTAGGAATGGATCACAATTTCAGTTATCTTTTTTTATTAAGTCCTATCACTCACCTGGAGTCCACCTTCCTCTGCATTCTCTGCTTACTTCTCTTTTGATGGAAATTTGGCAGTGGCTTGATATACACTTCTCAGTGAGCAGATTCTTCAGGAATCAAAAAGTCTTTTATCTTCCCTTTTTAACTATAAAAAAAGAGGGAAAAGGAGAGTAAATTATCTGAAGCCTCTTAGGAGCCACATTTCTGAACAGCTACATGCTAGCTCCTAATCTCTTCTTAATTCAACATTAGATGAACATGGCAAGTCTACGAAATTTTTGAATTGCATTTTGAGAGACTATGGACTCCGAGAAACAAACGGAGGTTTTAGAGGGGAGGGAGGTGGGGGGATGGGTTAGCCCAGTGATGGGGGTATTAAGGAGGGCACGTATTGCATGGAGCACTGGGTGTTATATACAAACAATGAATCATGGAACACTACATCAAAAACTAATGATGTAATGTATGGTGACTAACATAATAAAAAAAATTTAAAAATAAAGTTATTTTATAAGAAAGGAAACTGGGAGGAGAGAGAATGACACTCAAAAGGCTATAACTGGCTCATTCTTCTTATCCAGGTGATGCGCTAAGACCTCCAACTTCCCTTCACAGGAACACTAGGAGAGGCCTAGATTTCTTATTTTTTGCCTAGATTAATTTTTTTTTGTTGTCAATGTTACCTCTAAGAATATCCAGGGAGTTTTGGTCAAAAGTAAATTACCGTGTACAGTTCCCATTTTCATTTGGTGATAATTTCTACCAGTAATATTCATTATGAACCAATAAGCAACATAGTTTTTATTTATTTCTTAGCACAAAGAATAGCAATGTTGTGGGTTGGATTGTGTCCCCCTAAAAGAAGTCCCAACTCTGAGTACCTATGAATTGACCTGATTTGGAAATTGTCTTTGCAGATGTAATTAAGGTGAGGTCACACTGGAATAAGGTGGGCCCTTAATCCAGTATGACTGGCATCTTTATAAAAAGAGGGGATGAGACTGAGGGACAGATACACACAGAAAGGAGAATGCCATGTGAAGAAAGACATACAGGGAGAACAGCATGTGATGATGAAAGCAGAGACTAGAAAGATGTGTCCACAAGGCAAGGAACACCAAGGACTGCTGGCAACACCAGAAGCTAAGAGAAACGCATGAAACAGATCCTCCTCCAGAGCCTCCAGAAAGAGGATGGCCTGTTGACATCTTGATGTCAGATTTCTAGCTTCCGGAACTATGAAACAATACATTTCTGTTGTTTATAAGCCACCAAGTATATACTATTTTGTCAGAGCAGCCTTTGAAAACTAATTCAAGTAGTAACAAAAAGGAGTAAGATTTAAGTACATGGTGGAAGAAAGCTAATAGGGTGGACTTGTCTTATGTTGAGTAATTGTGAGATATTTATAGTAAGACATTCATTCTAAAAGAATGAAATCACCGTTTATATTTCAATGACAATCAGAGAAGGAATTAGCCAGAAAAGAAAGTTAAACCATAAAAAACGAATAGACCTTACTGAGATCAAACATTTGTCCTCCTCGTCTTTCTGGTATCACACTCCAAGTAACAAAAGTCACCATTAGTGACTATTTCCGTAAATAAAGGATATTTCAAACAGGGATTTTTGGCTAAATACTGCTATAATAAATGAGTCACCGCCTTGGGTTTATGTTTTGTTGTAATGATTAATGATTCTCTGGAATACCTACAGAGTGGGATACCAACAAGAAGCAGGCCCACAGAATCTCAGAAGAGCTCAGAACTAGAAGGAACAAAGAAATGGCTCCCAGAACTGAAGCCACAAGCCACAAATGAGGGGACTGAATGAAAGTCTACATGGTGAGCATTTGGGGCCACTGGTCTCCTTCCCAACCCTCCCAGGCAGGGTATCCAGCTCCTTCTCCACACCTTGCTTCCAGAATTCTGGCAGCTCAACTGGTACCTCCCAGTCAGGAGACTGGAAGAACCTTTGCAGAAGAAGCTAAAAACTAAAAGCCCTCAAGATTCTATCTGTTCCCTACCTCCCTCAATGAAAATGCACGCTCGCCCCTAGAGAGAAGCTCACAAACCTGCAAGTCCTGCTCAGACACTGGGAGCGTCTAACTAATTTCTCAGTTGCTGACAATTAAGTATGAATGGACAATCAAGAATCACAAGAGATTTGGATGTGACCTCCAACAAGAAGGAGACCAAAGCAAATGAAGAAATCTGAGGAAGTCCACGACCTGTGATGTACTCCTGCCAAGAACTTGAATCTAAATATCATCAAGCATCATGTACAACTAAGTACCAACTTACCAAAAATACAGGGAATAAAAATGATTCTGCAATCAGCAAAATCGGTGATGTAGAAAACTTCAAAGGACTAACGACCCAGTTCCTTCAACAAATAAACTGCAAAGAGGGGAAACTTACACATTAAAAGACGCTTAAGATGTAGATCAATCAAATGCAATGTATGGACTTTGATTTTGGATCTTGATTTTAACTAACTACAAACCAACTGTCAAAAAATATGAAACAATCAGGGAAACTTAAACTTTTTCTACTCTAAAAAATATTTTAATGAGTTATTAAAGAATTAATTTTTGGGGGGGTGCCTGGGTGGCTCAGTTGGTTGGGTGTCCGACTCTTGATCTCAGGGTTGTGAGCTCTGAGCTCAGCATGGAGTCTGCTCGAAATTCTCTCTCTCCCTCTCCCTTTGTTCCTCCCCTGGCTCATGCACACTGTCTCTCTCTCTCACTAAAATAATCTTAAAAAAAGAAAAGAAAAGAAGAAAGTCTCTCAAAACTGAAGGATGCAAATCCTCAGATGAGAGGTCCTGCACAGAGGCCAAATGTCAGAGATCAAACACTTTTTCCCTGTGCAAGGAGAAAAAGTTTAAGCTATCCCATCCTTTTTTTTTTTTAATTAAGATTTTATTTATTTATTTGGGAGAAAGCATGAGAGAGCACAAGCAGGGGGAGCTGCAGAGGGAGAGGGAGAAGCAGGCTCTCCACTAAGCAGGGAGCCCGACGCAGGGTTCGATCCCAGGACCCCACCACCCCAGGATCATGACCCGAGCCGAGGGGAGGGATAGACGCTTAACTGACCAAACCACCCAGGCACCCCTAAGCTATCTCATTCTTGAGAAGTTACAGGAAAACTGGATGTTGTCAAAATTAAAAATAGTTGTGTTTCAAAGGACACCATCAAGAAAGTGAAAAGACGACTCACTGAATGTGAGAAAATACTGGCAAATCTATTAAGAGACATATCTAGATTATATTTTTAAAAATTCCTACTACACAGTAATAAAAAAAACCCAATTTTAAAATGGACAAAGGATGTGAATAGACATTTCTCAAAAAAAATACATAAATGGCCAATAAGCACATTATAAGATGTTCAGTATCAGGGCACCTGGGTGGCTCAGTCGTTAAACATCTACCTTCAGCTCAGGTCATGATCCCACGGTCCTGGGATCGAACCCCACATCAGGCTCCCTGCTCAGCAGGAAGCCTGCTTCTCCCTCTCCCACTCCCCCTGCTTGTGTTCCCTCTCTCGATATCTCTCTCTCTGTCAAATAAATAAATAAAATCTTTAAAAAAAAAAAAACCAAGATGTTCAATATCATTAGCCATCAGGGAAATGCAAATCAAATCCCAATGAGATAACCATTAGGATGGCTACAATCAAAAAGAAAGAAAGATTGGGGCACCTAGCTGGCTCAGAGGAACAGGCAACTCTTGATCTCAAGGTCATGAGTCCGAGCCCCACACTGAGTAGAGATTATTTCAAAAATTAAACTTAAAAACAAAAAAAAAAGACAAAGATAATAACAAGTGTTGGTAAGGATGTAGAGAAAGTGAAACCCTCAGACACTGCTGGTGATAATGTAAAATGGTGCAGCCACTTTGGAAAACTGGCAATTCCTCAAAAAGATAAATATAGAGTTACCATTTGACCTAGCAGTTCCATTCCTAGGTACATAGCCAAGAGAACTTAAAACAAATGTTTATACAAAAACCTGTATATGAATGTTCACAGCAATATTATTAATAATAGCCAAAAAAGTGAAAGCCCAAATGTCCACCAACTCATGGATGGACAAACAAAATATGGTATATCCACACAATGAAATATCATGCAACCATAAAAAGAAATGCACTACTATTACATGTTAAAACATGGATGCATACTGGCACATGCTAGGTGAAAGAAGCCAATCACACGGGACCATGTATCATATGATTCCATTTATATGAAATGTCCAGAACAGATAAATCTATAGAGTCACAAAGTTAATGCCTGGCTGCATAGGGCTGGAAGGACTGAAGGGAAATGGGGAGTGACTCCTAACATTAAGGGTTTCTTTTCAGGGTGATAAAATGTTCTAAAATTGATTATGGTGTGGTTGCATAACTGAATATATTAAAAACCACTGAAGACTTTCAATTGGTGAATTGTATTCTATGTGAATTATATTGCAATAAAGCTGTTAAAGAAAGAAAAGGAGGAAGTAGAAGCAGTAGTTATTAAAGGAAAATGTATCCCCAAAACCAAGGAAGCAAATAGAGGGGAAAAAAAGGAACACAGGCAACAGCAAATTCAATATAAGAGAAGAGCAAAAAGAAGCAAATCCCAGGATAGATGTGAAAAGAAGTTTCTGGATTAGAACTGAGTACAGCAGGCACAGAATCACCAGATCAGATTAGACAGAGGAAGATCTCCAGGAAAAAGATGAAATGGACAGTTTTGAGAGTAATTTTGCAAAAAATTTAGATAGGCATATGAGAAATGCTGATGCATTCAGGGAAAAAAAATTTAATGACCTGTGCATGAGTACTAGGCAAATGAGAAAATAAGATTATTCATTTTCAGAAAAAAATAATGGGATGTACAAGAAAGAACAGTTGCAGTACTCTGGTATAGCTGTGAAATGTTATATAACACTGACCACTTATCTTCCACGGATAACAGTCAACACTTTATGTGTAAAACTAAAAAATCAGGAAATATCGCCCATAAGGATATATACTTCCAACTTATAATAAGATCAGGAGAAACTGCTAGCAGAATGGAAATTATGACTGGGGCGTGGGGCTATTTTCTATTCTAAGCTTTTTTTTTTTTTTTTTAAAGATTTTATTTATTTGACAGAGAGAGAGACAGCGAGAGAGGAGGGCACACAAGCAGGGAGAGTGGGAAAGGGAGAGGCAGGCTCCCCGCGGATCAGGGAGCCCGATGCGGGGCTCGATCCCAGGACACTGGGATCATGACCTGAGCCGAAGGCAGACGTTTAACGACTGAGCCACCCAGGCGCCCCTCTACTATAAACTTTTAATATTGGTTTTTAAAATCATGTATGTTAACTTGAAAAATTAAATTACTTCTTAATGAACTTTGTTTCTACAGGGGGCACCTGAGTGGCTTAGTCAGTTAAGCATCTACCTTCAGCTCAGGTCATGATCCTGAGCCCCGCATCGGGCTCCCTGTTCAGCCGGGAGCCTGCTCCTCCTGCTTATGCTCTTTCTCTCTCTCTCTCTCTGTCAAATAAGTAAATAAAATCTTTAAAAAAAAAAGGTTTCTACAGTACTTCGCAGCTGCTAACAATGACTGAGAAATCAGTGATCCTACTAAAGAAAAGCAAGGAAAGACCTAAATTTATATCTTAAGCATCCAAAACAGTTTCAACTACTTCTTCCAGGAAGCCTTGCCTGATACCTCCAAGCTTCATATTTTCATGGCACTTGGGCGGGTACCATGAGATCTAAAACGAATAGATTAAAAAAACAAACAAAAAAACACTTATGTAGCGGGTACTCTGTCAGGTATAGATAGTACTAAACATTTTTCATTCATAACCTGCCTTTTAACAACCACCCAAACAGGTGGTAGCCATTTCATTTTATAGACGAAGTACCTAATTGAGGTCATTAGCCAAGAGGTAGGGCCGGACTGGTACTCAGGTCCCTAACACCATTCGTTCAAATATTTGCATCTACACAGGCTGACAAGAAACTTGAACTGCCTCCCATGAGATAATAAAGAAGCATTTATCTCCCGCTGCCGGTGAGGCTTCACTGTTGTTGACCTGCTGGGCCCTCTGGGTTCAGATGAGGCCTCCCAGGTTTGTGCACACTAGCCCCGGGCCTGGCCATGCAGCAGGGACCCAGAAACTCCTGATTCGGATCCGCGCACGCTAATGAGCCTTGCATGGATGCAGGCACCGGCGCCCGCCTGCAGCGCACCAGACGCGCGGGAGGAAGCGGCGCCCGGAGCCCGGGCGACTAGACGCTGACGGGAAGCAGCACCCGGCAAGAAGGACGCAAGCACCATGCTGGGCGAGGAAGGCGGGCTCCGAAAGTCCTGCGCACTCTCTTCACACCTCTTCCATTCCCTGATCACAGTCCGTGGATAGGCAGCATCGCCTGCACTCCTAGAGAAGGAAGCGGAGGCCCCAAGAGGAGAGTCCACTAGGACGTGCGCTCGCCGCTGGACTCCCAATCGAGGAGGCCGAGCCACTCAGAGGCTGGAGACGATGCGACCGGGCCTCATACCTGACAAGCCGAGCACTCTGGCCTCGCGAAGTCCCAGCAGGAGTGGGCAGCCGCGGCCCGCGCTCGTCCGACCCGCGGGGCCCACACCCTCCTCAGCGCTTCCCGCGTCTCAGCACGCGTGTCTCGCGCCGGCCCCGCCCCTGTCTCCACGGCGACGCGGCGTGCGTGTGACACGCCCCTCCAGGGACTCTGGAGTTCGCGCAGCCTCAGTCCGATAGGTGACACACCTCCCTCTGGCAGCCGCAGGGCACCGGCAAGGCTGTGTTGGCCCCAAAGTGCGCGGATGAATACGCCGTCTGTGCAACCTCAAGGTGGGCTTTTGGACGCCTTGGCCTACTTGCTTCTCTCAGAGCTCAGCTTCCTACAGCCACTCTTAGACAAGAGAAGTAGGAGTTATTTCGAATCGGATTTCCGAGCTACGCCTCACGCGGCAGGGACTAGGGATGAGGCCCACGCGGACGAAGGTCCTCCTTCCCCCCACTTCCAGGCTCCCGCGTGAGCCTCTCTAGCTCTTGGTTCTCGATGGTTCCCAGCCGGTGCGAGCCAGCCCCTAAAGAGTAGGGCGCGCGCATGCGTGGACCAGGGAGGTTGTCAATCTGAAGGGCAAGGGATATGTTGTTCCGCGGCCCCCGAATTTAAATTATCCCAGGCTGGGATCTTCTCTGAACCCTTCCTTAAAAAAATGTAGTTAAGCACTAATTGTTAGTAAATAGTCGTTAACTTTTTTTTAAAACTCTTATCTTTTAAAAATAGGAGTAAGGGAAGGTAGGTGGGGCACTTTCATATGCTTTTCTCCTGCGCTTTGTAAAACATTTGAAAGCACATGAGATTTTTGGTGGAGACAGCAAAGGCTAGCATTATGTACTTAAATGCTTGAAAGATTTTATATTACAAATATGAGGTAAAATAACTTGTTGGGTGTCCTGGGATTAAAGTCACACAGGTAGTTTGCATTTTTGCTCTATTTTCTACATATGCTAATTTTTGTTACTAAAAAACGGGTGTTTAAAAGAAGTTCCACTTTAGCAGGACACGGGAACCAATCTTTTAGGGATGACTAATTTAGTGAGTTTCAAAGTCCTAATTAACACTAATATTTACTAACTGTAAAATTAGTCTTGTAAGTACTTTATGCTTTCTAGATGATTTGCTGATGCTTTATTCCTGTCATGTACCTTTACTACCGTCAACTTTGACTAATTTAGAAAGGGATGAAAGGCATTTTTGAATTATTAATGCAAATAATTACTCCTGTCAGGAAAGATTAGAACAGTATAGAGTAACAACAGCTAGTGCAGCACCGCTTACTCAGTTGGCTCTGTTTTAAGTACTTCCCATAAATAAAATCAAACATGTAAAGCACCAGAAAGGGTAGAGGCTCTGCAAAGAATTTGTGTGGTCTTCCAAAAGTCTCTTAATTTCTTTATAGTCCTTAACCTGAGTACATTATGCCACACATCTGTGAAACTGTTCAACTCTTTTTCTTAGAACCAGGGATTACCCTTAGAGCAAGAAAAACTGAACAGGAAAAAAACGCATTTAGAGAGGCACTGTCTAGTTGAGGTGTAATCCCAACTTTCTGAGATTAGGCTGCTCTAAAAATTACTAGGTTTCTCGTATTTTCATTTGCTTCTCTACTGCTCTTGGACTGCTAATTTCCCTAACTGACTGAACTTTTGAGTCCCCTTATGCCAAACTTTGAACCAACAACTGAACCTAAATGAAGATCTTACAAATACTTAGTAAAGAACAAGAGTAAATAATTTCTCTTATTCTCTCAAGGAGCCTCTCATACAGATATTTGAAAATTCATTAATTGCAAAAAGGGGCATTTAGAATTACAAACTATCATTCTTACCGAGAATATTCAAAAGCTACAATTAAACAAGGATTTGCAAGCATCTAGGTTTTGCATGACACACGTGACCCTCCCTTAGTAAATTACTACCTTTATTCCCAGGTACTAATTTGCATCTCCTTTCACAAGGACAAATTGAGTCTGAGAGATAAGTGAGTTGAGACCAAGGTTCTACAAGATACTAAAGGAGAGCTTGGTGGAAGAGTAAATCCCAACTAGGATAGACCGGAGGGCCCAGGAAATTAGCTCCAGGCCAGGCGTCTACCATGGTAACTACAATGCCTTGAGCAGATTTTATGTGTAGTGGTGGTAATTTTAACGACTGAGTCACCCAGGCGCCCCTTTTGGTAATTTTAAAATATGTCCACAAATTCTTTGACACTTCTGTATAAAAGTAGTCTAAATCCCCTCCCCTTAGTGACTTAATAGAATACAGCATGTGGCAGAACACTGAATGACTCCGAGGCTAGGTTAGAAAAGGCAGTTCAGCAACTGGCTGCCCACAGAATCCTGCCACCATGTTGTGAGAAAAGCTCGCGCCACAGAGAGGGCATGTATAAACGTTCCAGTCAACAGCTCCAGGAGTCCCAGCCGACAGCCACCATCAAGCACCAAATATGTGAGTAAGCGAGCCATTAGATGGAGCAGAAACCAGGTGTCTTGCAAAATAAATGAGTTAAGCCACTGAGTTTTGGGGTGGTTTATTACACAGGAATAAGGACAATGTTCTTAATATCTCTAATTCCTCAAAAGTAGGTACTGCTATCCTTTTTTGACAAAGGAGTAAACAGGTCCAGAAAAACGAAATGACTGGCTCAGGTTTCACACCAACTGGCAGAACCAGAATATAAGAGCTTCAAAGAATGGGCCTTCTTCATTATATCTGATAGCAAAAGGATTATACCATTATCCTCAACCTTAGGAAGAACCTGATTCCAAAAGCAACTTGATTTCTAAAATATTAAGACGAGCATTATTTCATTACCTACAATGTGCCTCTGAATAGGCTTAAAAAAAAAAGGCAGCTTTACGGAGGTTGTGTAAGGCTTTTTACCCAACTTATCCTTTTTAATATTGATAACAGCCCCTGTGAGATGGGTTATCATCTTTCCAATTTTACTGATTAGAAAACCAAGGCTAAGGATAAAGAACTGGCCTAACCCCAGCCTGTAGGGTGTGGCAGAACTGGGATGCAAACTCCGGCCCAATTTGCAAATGTTTCCCTCTGCCTCTTGCCTGCAAAGATCGTTAACACGTTATTAAAAAAAAAAATTGAAACACATTTTATTCAGTATTACAGACTAAAAGAAAAATGTTTTCATAATTTTCTCAGTTGCCAAGACTCATAGGAAGGGAACTTGGCGATCACTCAATGCCCAATCCCCTTATTTTACAAGTCAAGTTCAAAGTAGGCCCCTTCAAAGAAATGGAGACTTCACTACCCTTTAGCGAGAAAAACTGCGTTTCCCTCTACGCCCATGTAACATTTCACAGCAAGCCCGGGCGGTCCGCACGCGACAAAAATTGGGGCTGGGGATATTCCTGCAGACCGGGCTCACATGTGATCTCCGTCAAACCTTTACTGATGGCTCCTCCCCAGCACGGCAATTACTCTCATTTCTCAGAGTAGGGAAATTGTTTGCATTGCTGTGCACCCATTTGCCAAAGTCTCGCCACTTGGACTATGCTCTTCACATTCGCCGTCTCATTTTCACCCAAACACACTCGCACTTCCCCTTCCCGTGCAGGCTTAGAAAGACTCGGGTTATGGGCGGGGGGAAAAAAACACCTTTCAGTGAATCTGTCAGTCGCCTTTAGCTCAATCAAAAGCAATGGTGGCAAGTTTGTTAATGCAACAACATACAATCACATAAATTTATAGAGAGGAGCCATTTTAGAAAGAAAAAGGGAGAAAAAGGGCTTTGCCCAACATTACGCCACTAATGAAAAACCTGAGATTCGAGCCCACAAACGCCAGGCTCAAAAGCCCCCAGGTTCGCCTCAGACTGCCACCGCCGAAGCCCCACGGTTCCCCGCCGTCGCGAATCGTGCGAACGCAGCAGTCGTCGCGCTCCCAAATCGCACCAGGCCGCGGACCCCGGACCCAGACTTCGCTGGGACCACCGCCTTCCAGGAAGAGCTGCCAGGCGCGGACTGCAGGCTCCAAGCACCGCCCGCCCCTTTCCGCTCCGCCCCGCCCCGAAGCGCTCGTGGGAACGCAGCGTCCTCCCGAGGGCTGCCCAGGACGACCGCCTGCGCGCACCGAGAAAGGCTTCCGCCGCCGCTGCCCCAGCCCCCTCCCCGCCGTCGCCATCTCCTCCCCGCCTCCGCCTCCCCGCCGCCGGACGCACGCTGGGGCCGGCGTCCGGGGAGCGCGCCGCAATGTTTCTCTTTTCCGCCCGGCACCGCCGCAGCCACCTCACATCCGGGCGCGCAGTGGCGAAGGCGGTGCTGGGGCCCGGGTGCGTGGAGGGAGTTATTAAGGGGGAGGGGGTCTGGGAGGAGGGGCGGAGGGCTGGGCTGTGGTTACGGCGGCTGAAGAGAGACAGTCCAAACGGGTGGGGGGGGCAAGAGCGAAGGCCTCGCGGAGCAGCCCTCGGACCGGCGCGGGCGGCGGGGAGGGGAACGGCGGCCGAGGCAAAGGGCCGCCGAGCGGCGGAGGCACCGAGTAAGCGCCCGGCGGCAGCGGGAGCTGGGGCGTCTCGCGCCAAGGGCCGCAGGGAGGGCAGGAGCGCGGGCGCGCTGCTCCTGGGGTCGCGTGCG